ATAAACCCAACCCATTGAAAGTTGAACGGGTTAGGTAACGGGTTAAGGCGAACCCGATCCAACCCAACCCGCGTACACCCCTAGTTTATGCTACAGCACTAATAAAAAAAAAGAAAAATTACATTTTTTATTAATCTATGGTTGTGGCTACAATATGTGACATATATATAGGTATTACTTCATTCTTTGTTCTATTTATGTCGCTACAGTTCATAATGAAAAGAAAAAAACATTTCATTTTTTTTAAGCTCATGCGTTATAGTCCAAAAGAAGGTATCATGATGTAAAACAAAAGAATCATATTTATCATAGTCTTCTGCTACAGTAACAGTTTAGGAGAAATAGAATTCACACTTCACGATTTTAGTTCAACGCTACTGTACAACAAATATATACATATATTCCAATTTCAATGGATTTACTCCTAATATTGAATGGATCTCTATAGTATACCAACATATCAACTCCAAATACAATTAAATTAACAAATTTCAAAAATTATCACTAAAACCTAACAATTTCAAATTAATAAAAAATTTAGGGGTTTCAACCTAAACATGTTTCTATCCATTAAACATTATCAAATAATCTCAATAATTATATTAAAAATTCACTCTTATCTTGATTTTTCTTGGATTCTTGAGTTCTTTCTTAGGTTTCTCCTCTTCTTCTCTACTTCCCTCTTCTAGCCTCTTTTCTCCTTTCTATCTCTATTCTACCCCCTTCTCTTTTTTTTAAACCCTAAAAATTACATAACAATCTAATGGGCTCACTAACTCATTCTCACACTTTCTATTCACACTCTCATCTAGGCCCAATTACTTAATTCTACCAATTATATATTTTATTCCACCAAATAAGGTAATTAAAACAAATCATTTAATCAAACAAATCAATTAACTCAAATAAATCCAATAAATCAAATAATTCATTAAATAATTCAATTAATTAATATAAATAAATAATTTCTAAAATTGGAGTGTTACAAGAGTCATCAACAACAGGGATCCGTTCTTCCTTGTCAACGTCCATGTTGGAGCCATCAATAGCGTCCATTATCAGGATTTCAAGAGGCTCAATATAGTCTACTTCCTCCATTTTCATGGGTCGACATCCACTTTCATTGTTGATTTTGACTTCTTGCCAAATTGGAGTCTTCCATCTTTCAAAGCTTTCTGAACCAAGTCCCTGAAAAGAAAACATTGAGAAGACTTATAACCCAGGAAATTATGATATATGCAAAAACCTCTTTTTTCCTTTGTTCTAAAGGAGGGGTTTTCAAACCAGGAGGCACTAGTATTTGACCATCTTTAACTAACAGATCAAAGATTTCGTCATATTTTTTGATATCGAATGTATAACTTCTAGTTGTGAACTTTTTACTCTTTTTAGTTTCAACAAGGTTCTTCCCATTGGATGGTTTTAAAAGCTTACAAGTGTATGGGGGTCCTGGCTTTAACTCAGCCACATTGACTTTTTTTCATCTAGACTATCTTCACCAACGTCGAATACGTACTCGTCTGCGTCTATGTAAGCGACTTTCTCTTTCTTATAATACTTACTAGTTTTGGCTTTCTCAGCTTTCAAGCGTTTGACTTGATGAAACCTATCTGCAAGTTGTGCCATATCCCTTAGATATTAGGTATCCAATTTCTTTCTAATAAAATAGTTTAGGCCACCCACAACCATTTCGACCAACTCATGCTCTTGTACTTGCGTAAAGCACCTGGCTTTAAGAAGTCTAAACCTATTCATATAGTCCTCTATTGATTGAGGGACCTTTTTCCTAACACTTTCTAATTCTTTCAAGTTAATTTTCGACTGCCCCATATAAAATTGTTCATGGAATAGCCTTTCTAACTGGCTTCATGTTTGTACGAACTAGGGAGGAAGGGTCGTAAACAATGTAAAAACATTTTTGGTTAAAGAACTTGGGAAGTATTTTAATTTTTAAGTTCTCATTATTAGCTAAGTCGCCAACCTCGGTTTGGTACCTGTCGACATGTTCTATTGTCGACTCATTAGTGTCTCCAACAAACTTGGTGAATTTTGAGATCTTTAATCCCATGGGGACCTCTGACTGTTGAATATATTAAGGCAATGGGGAAATAAATTTTGGTCGATGGAGTCCCACATTCAATCCATTCTGGGCCAAGATCTACTCGACCACATTCGTTATATTGTTCTTCCCTGCAAAATCATTTTGCTGGACTTGCCTAAGCACCTGATCAGCATTCTGATTTCTATGAGCTATCAAAGGAGTGGGGTCGTTTTGCACTATTTGCTCCCTATTTAAAGAAGGATTTTGTTGCGACTCCAATTTTTGGGCCAATGTGGCCAATGTTGTCGCACTCCCAGGGGTTAACGAAAATTCCTACGTTAGATATTTGTGGAGTTGGTCGAATTGGTACTGTGGGTGTGCTAAAGAAATCAGCAATGTGCCCCATCTGGCTTGCCAAAACTTCATAAGTTTGGTTTATGTTAGCAATTAATGGACTGAAGATGGTCCCCATTTGTTGGGTGAGAGTATTTACCATTTCCAGGTTACTCTCGTCCATCTATTGCCTCATTTACATCATAGAAGTAGTGTTTAGTGATGGAAAATTCCAAGGGATATAATTTATCCCTGTTGGTCGTGCCATATTATTGATGGTCGACATTGAGGCGTTGTAAAGGTTATGTAATAGCGTTGTGGTCATTATCTTGTCACTAAAAGTTGACATATTTGGTTGCAAGCCTGCCATCATGAATGTTGGCATTCCATAGGGATAATCTCTGCCAGGGGGAGGCATTGAGAATCCAAATAAAGGTCTTGTCAGCGCAGGATTGTTAAGGGAATTTTCTGGCTGTGAAGGGGGTATTCCCCTGGGACGAAATTGTTGCGAATGGTGTCTCTAATGCCGATGGAGTCGTCGTCCTAACTGGTGTAGAAAGAACTGGCACTTCTTGGCCGATACAACCAGCTATTGCACCACGTCTTGTGGGTTATTCTGAGAATTATTATTGTCTGGAGGAGGACACAACATACTGGATAACGCTTTACCACTCCTTAAGCGCATGCAAAAAAATGCCCAAAAAAGAATTCCTAAGAGTATAACCTAATTCTTCTAAAGTAAGAAAAACAAGGGATGACATAAATAAAACACAATTAACACATGAGCCACTGGGCGTGCCAATTTGTTTACCTTCAAAAATGGTAAACAACCGCTGGTCTCCAAATGTATTGTTTACTAGAAGGATCAACTAGTTAATCTGTAGGACGAAGTGCTTAAGGGTTTGTTTATTGTTATTTCTTTTAATGTTCTTAGGGTTATGGACTTCGACTGTGTCGAAGAAATGTATGAGGATAATGTAAACAGAGAGTTTGTAAACTTCTTGTAAAAGAAAGTAAGGTGAAAGTAAAACATTTTGAAAACGTTTAAGAGAAAATGAAGGAGGGGGAAAAGATGAAAATGATGAAGACGAAGTAAACTAAATGAATTAAGAAACTTTGCATTGAATAGTAAATATGATGTTTCATCTGTGCTTATATTCTCTCAGTCATTCGCTCCTTTCTCTTAACGTTGATACTTTGAATTTCTTTGTGAGACTTTTGTAGTACAAATGAACACATTAATCCAATAAAATTAATCACTATATACAGAAATCTAAAATAACTAGTCTAACGTTCTTCTCCTGTTGGTTCGCCACGTGCACTTCTGCATGTAGTGTGTTTTCAAATTTTCTCCACGTGTCCCTCTGAGATAAGAACCCAAGTAGTTACTAATATTTGAACGTGACAAATCGCGCCCAAACAACCGCTTCTTCGACCAACTTTATTTCGACGCTACCTGCCTGGTCAAAGCAGATGTTGTCGGACCACTCGCTTCAACAACTAAAAAATCCTCTAAGTCCCCAAAGTGCATTCGAACCACTGTTGTTTTAAGACTTGTATTCTTGTTTGCTGGATTTTCCTTATTGGTCAAAAATCTCAACTAACAGGTGGTTAGGGCTTGCTCACAATGATGAGAGACCTTGTTCAATGATGTTTACGGTGGTAAGAGAGAGACAACTCACGTGAGGTGAGAGCCTTTATATATAAGTGTTGTGCTGAAAATATTATGATATCTCCTTCCTCCCATTAGAGAAGGAGTATTTATAGAGGCCAAAAGTCTTGTTTATATTATAATTTTGTGAGACCCAAAAATAACCTCTTGTATCAAAAGAACTTGTAATTCTATTTTATAGTGAATATATTTTATTGGATAAAATTTCGTGATTTTTCTTTTACATTAAGAGGATTTTTTATATAAAATTTGTTGGTGTAATTTTGCGACTTTATTTTTATTCTGCTACTTGTTTATTTATTTTATGTTTGCTTCTGCTTAATTACATAAGAGAAAAATTAAGCTTACGTTTTAAAAAAAACAAAAAGTGATAACAGTGGAAAATTTAGGGATAAAAATCCAATATAATGTAAGATATGTCTATCCACCTCTCTAGTACACACGAAGGACATCTAAGAATGAAGAATTTTTGTTCTTTTTCATATTGTTGATTGAACACAACTAAAGAATCTTCACATTGGAAAAACTAATTACTAATTTTTTTGGAACAAATAATTCTCAACTTAGTTTTAATTTAATATCTATCCACAAACTAACCAATAATATGATTGCATATTTACTTATTCTTCTACTAATGATTGTTTTAATATTCTAATTATGAATAAAAAACAATTGGTTCAAGTCAACTTTGTGATTGGATTATATGTTAAAAGACAAGAAAGATAAAAGCATCATTAGCTGCACTCCATTATAAAATTAGTGTATGATTAAACACTAATCATTCAAATAAACTCACAAAGTAAAATATATCAACACAATCATCATAGTATATACAATACGTAAAAAGATTCTTGCAGGACTTTGAACTAACATGAAACGAAATTCATATTACACGTGAAAAAGAATGAGATCGTTGAAAAGACAAAGATCTTCATCACCTCATTGAAGAACATTTTAGAAAATATCAAGAATCTCAAGAATCGAACGGTTACAAAGTGGGCAGGAGCCTCTGTTCAGCCACAGCTCCCTAGAGCAGACTCTGCAAAAAGTGTGTCCACATGGAATAAACGCCGCGCCTTTATTCCTTCCCATGCACACGCAGCACACCGAATCATTTCCCGCCACACCACTTTCTTTTACCTCTCTCACAGCCTTAGCCGTCAGCGTGTCACCATTTTCCGTCTCCTCTAAGAGCCTCATCAACGACACTCTCCACGGTGTCCCCGGAGTTCTACCTCCTCCGCCTCCGTCGACGCTCGTTTCCACCGGCGGTCTTCGGAGTTGTCGCTCCGCCGCTAACGCCGCCGCAAGATTCATATTACCCGAAGCAGTTGGATTCGGGCCAACGCAGACGCTCGGATCCTGAACCGGATCCGTATCCGAAAGTTGTTGCTGAGGCAGTTGAAGCGAAGAAGAAGAAGAAGAACGGAATCCACGTGTGGCTCCGCAACAACCTATCCCGATGAATCCAAACCGATCCTTGAAGCTACGGCGCCTACGAGGAACTCCATCGACACCGTCCATTTGTTCTCTTAACAACCCGAGAATCGTTCTTGACTCACCCCGGGTCTCCTGTAATAACAAACCGAGCTGACTCATCTCTCTCAAACGGAGATCTCGTGAGGTTTAAGGCATTTAAAAGGGAAGAAGAAACGAAACGGTTTGTTAGGCGAATGGAATTGCGGGTTGAATTAATATACTACGAGTTGGGATCGGCACGCATTGTAAGCATGAATATTAAAGAAAAGGAAGAAAACAAAAGGGTAATTGATTTATTGGGTGTGAAATGAAAGAAGTGAACAAAGACAAAATGGAAGGAGAAAATGGAGGAACGGGTTTTTACTTTTCATTACATAACTAGTGTGCGTGATTTTCTTTATAACAATCTAATTGTTTAGGAAAAGGAGCGTCTATTATTACTATTACCCACGTTTATTTTTCTATTATTATTATTATTATTATTTAATTTTAAGTAGTACTAGTAGTAATACAAATATTAATGCAAATATCATTTCTCAAACATCAAATGAGCTAAATAAAAATAATTTTTTAAATGCATTTTTTATCTCTCTATTTATAAAGTTAAGAAGCCTAAAAAAAAATTAATATAACTTTAACTTTATATATATTAAATTTTTTAATCAAATAAAGTTAATAATTTAAAATTCATTCACTTCATCCTTCATCCATTGTCAACCATTAACGTCTCATTTGATTATTTTTTTTAAAAATCATCAAGCAATGAAATTCAACATCTCACCATTACATATTCAAACCAATTGCATTAAAATCTAATTAATCAAAATTCTTCCAAACCCTCTCCTATATTTAATGCAGTGAATGATTCACTTTCTTCATCCTTCTCTCAAAATTTTAAAAGTTATTTATTTATAAGCAAAACTTTACAAGCTATTGATTCCTAAAAAAAAAAAAAACACTTCAAATTTCATATCGATATCAAATCAATGTCACATCTACAAAACATGGATCTAACTAAAATGTATTAAATATTATTAATATTTAATATTCAAATAAAATTTTGTTAGCTAGAATTACGGGTATCTTAATAAATCAATGTCACATCTACAAAATATGAATCTAACTAAAATGTATTAAATATTATTAATATTTTTTAAGAAATACAATTTTTAAAAAAATCTATTAAAAAATTTTTGTTTAAAAATTTGCATATTTTCCTCAAAAATTGTAGTTGTGACAGTGTGCAATTGTAAGTTAATTTGTTTTTATTTGTGCGGAGATTTTCTCTAGTTATTTTTTTCAATAATTAGTATTAGAGCAAAAAAGAGTTTACTCTGTCCCTTTAGCAAAGGCTTTTAAAGTATTGTTCAGAAATAGTAGCAAGAAAGAGTTTATGGTTTCTTCCATGGGAACTTGGTGTGACGGTGTGTAGAGGTGGGGAGACTTAGGAATCAAGAGTCATGGGCTGGAAGATGAGGTAGAGGGATTTCAAAGTTTGAAATCTTTGTTGGATGAAGTGTCTTCATCTTTAGGTGTCGATGATGAGGTGAAGTGGATTATGGATGAGTTTGAAAGCTATTCCATTAAGTTTGCGTATCAGCAGATGATGGTGTCTCCAGGGCTTGATCAGATGTCGGACGAGCAGGGTCACACGTTCAAATGGTTGTGGAGGATTAGGGTGCCGGCGAGAATTATAATTTTTGGGTGGAGAATCTTGTGGAACAGATTGCCAACTAAGGATTTGTTATTTAGAAAAGGTATTATTTTTTATACTCAATGTGGGTTGTGTGGTGCATATGGCAAAAATTAGGGGCATATCTTATTCAACTGCTATGTGTCTTTGGTTGTGTGAAAAAATATTGGTGATTGATATAGGTGTGACGTGGTTCATAGTGGGTGTGTCTGGAGCCATTTTATGGATTTGAGCGGTGTTGAAAATAATTATGCAGGCAAACTTAAGAGAGGCGCTTTTTGGTTGACAGTCGTGTGGTCCCTCTAGAAGGGGAGGAACGATATCATCTTTAATGTTGAGACTTGTAATGTTAATACTGTTTGTTGGAATATAAAGTTTTGTGTTTGGAAATGGAGATGCATAGGGGAAATTCCTTATTCCAACTCTAGTTTTCATGTTTTTTGTATGAAACCTATTTAGGTGCTTTTGTTAGAATAGTCTTGGTTGAGAATCTCTCTTCTTGTTTATTTGCTTTTGTAAAGGCTTAGAATATCTCTTGTATTCTTATTAATCTCAATTGCCTTTAGAAAGAAAAAAATTATTAGAGCAAAAGTTTCGATCAATAAAGAAAAAGTAGCAGAAGTATTGTCTTTGAAGCTAGATATCATCTTATTTCATTTGTGTTTTTATTAAACAATATTATGGCTACACCGAAGTTGGATATTTCTTTATTTGATGGGACGATGAATTTTTTCTGGTGAAAGCACAGACCAAAACAATTTGGTGAAACAAAGTCTTGTTATGCTTTATAAGTTGAAAAACCAAGTGAGATTAAAAAAAAAATTAGATTGGAATGCAATACAAAAAAATATGTCTGCACAATTTGATTGACACTTGCTCAGTAGATTAAAATGATTCTTGAAACAAACATTTTAAAGAAATTGTGAAATTTGTTAGAAAGTAAATTTGTATCAATTATACTAATCAATTTATTAATGATAAAAATGAGCATGTACTCGTTGAAGATGGAAGATGAATGTAATATTTTTTATCATATTAATAATTTTAATAAGTTGTTATCTAGAATTATAAATGCAGAGAAAGATATCAAAGATGAATAGCAAGTTTCTTTTATTGGCTTCACCATCCAAATCCTTCAAATCACTAGTGCAGTCAATGTTAACAAAGAATAGCAAATTACATGCTGATAAATTAGTGAAATCGTTGAAAGGAAGTTAACAAATTATGGCTATTGATAAATCTATCAAAGACAGTCAAATACTAATAGTTAAAAAAGGGCAATGAAAGAACTAAGAGATATGAGTTTTGTCAAGTGTCATTATTGTCAACAATTTGGTCACATACAAGTTAAATGTCATGATTCATGTAGAATTTGCAAAGCATAAAGAAGAAGACAAAACAATTGAAGAGCATTATTAATGCAAATATGTTAAATTGTGTAGACAATTCTTTTATTTTGCGAGAATGAAGGTGACTATGTAGTCGAGAGATGTGAGACTTTAAATGAATGGGGGAGATGTTGTATTAAAGTGAATACTCGTCAAACTTTGACATTGAATAATATGAAGAAAAAAAGTGGAATATTATTATAAATATGGAGAGTTAGTTTGAGTTTGTTCACCACAACAACTCTATATTTTAAGGATGTAATTGGGTTTATGTAGTTGTGCGTCTAGAGGGGCTTTTCAATTTTTTTGTTTAAAATTATTGTTAAGAGAGTTTATAAATTTTTCATGCAAAAATTATAATCGAGAGAATTTGTAATTTTTTTTTTACCTAAATATTGTAGTTGAGTTTTTTCGTAAAAAAATTGTATTAGTTGTGAGAGATTGCAGTTTTTTCCTTATAAAAATGACGTGTTAATTTTTATTTTTATTTGTGTATGTTTTCTCTAATAACTTTTTTCATTAATGGTATCATAACCGATAATTCAATTAAGTAATCGGCTCTTTATATCTTAACAAGATGATCGTCAAATACATGTTATGTTGAAGTATTCCCAAGTATAAGTGTAAATGTGTGCCAATGAAAAAGTTTTAAAACGGAGTTTATAAGTGGATAAACTCACAATTAAAAAAAAATTATTGTGATACAAATATAAATTAAAAGTCTCACATTTCTTTAAAAAAAAATAAAGATTGAACAATATACAAATGAGATTATTCATATGCTACCAATTTATTAGTAAGATTGTTTACAAGCAAAAGTTTAACAAATCTAGAGCAACTTTATTACTTTTCTTGAATTCTTTTTATTAGGTTGATATAAACATCTCTTTTATGCTATTTGAAACGGGATAAAAAGCCCTTCATTCGATTTCATACATACATAAGTAAATATTCTTAAAAATTTATCATTTTAATGATGTATTTAATCTAGTTATTTAATAAATTTAAAAAATAAATATTTGTTTACTCCTATTTATGAAAAAACAATAATAGAAATTGTGTAAAAAAGTAATAATTTTATATTCATAAAAAGTTTATTACATAATATTTAAACACAATCTTCAGTTTAATCTTTATTTTATTAATATAAAAAATATTTAGTGGCATTTGTTTTTTCATAATAAAAACCAGGGTTATTTTTATTTATATGTATTTCTTGTCTATTCCAAACAAATTATAAAATAAATACATAATATTTTATTTTTATAACATGTTTGTAGTTTGTGCTATATGCGTGTTGTGGTTTTGTTGCCGGCATTCTAAAAGTCAAAAGCCGTTGAAGACGGCACGGCAATCAAGGTTTAGGCCAAATGGCATTTGGCATTTGCACTCTTGCGGCGAACGACTAGTAGAATTATCTTTTCATTTTTTTCATTTTTTTTTAACACACTTTAGTTTCAATTATGCTCCATTTCACCAACACAAGAGTTTCAAAACAAAATAAAAATCAACACAAGATTAAATTACGTTTTGTCGTTGAAATTATGAAATATATAAAAGTAAATGAGATATATAGATCGAAATATTATTTATTGGTATTTTTAATAAAGAATCATACGTTTAATTCACTTAAGAGATTAATTCGAAAAAATGTCAAGAATAATTTGTATAAAGAAAATGAAAAAAAAAAGTATATGTGACTGAAAGTTAAATGTTTAAATATTAACGATCCGGATATAAATTGTAATTGCAATAAATTTTGGATAAAGATAATGAATAATAAACGAAATATATGACATTAAAGTGATTCGAATACAAAAGGCTTAAAAAAGTAAGTGAGAAAACATAGACTTATACATTTTTCACAAACGGTTTCGTTTTGTAACTTTCGCACTTTAGTTCTATAGAGAATAAATGAGATTTTTTTGACCCCGACCACAACATTGAGGTCGATTTATACACTAGTATAATGTTAACCGTCGACAATGGTTGTTTCTACAGAACTTGACATGTATTCCTTTACGTGGACTTCAACCCTC